TTCTCAGCAAGGAAGGAGTCGATAGTCGTATGAGCGAGACTACTGATGCGCAGAGTATGGACCAGGGGTATTATTCCGGCGCTGGAGGTCGGAGGCTGGAGGATATACAGAGCGTGGACGAGCACAGTTACCCCCCGACTTCTTTGGACTACCAATCCAGTTCGCAAACCGTCGTTGGATTCACCCCTGATGATATGAAGGACTGGAGAGGTGGTTCTGGCTCTCTTACGGCTTACCAGCAATCTGTAAAGTCTCGCTCGAGCTTGGGCGTGGTCGATCACAGCAAACGCACGACCGGTATGGCTAGGTGGGAAAGGACACTATGGAAGAAGTTGGAAGTGGGCGATATCGTGCTGTTGAGGGAGAACGAACAGGTCCCTGCTGATATCGTCGTTCTTTCGACCTCGGACCCGGATAATATGTGTTACCTCGAAACGAAGAACTTGGATGGCGAGACGAACTTGAAGCCGAGAAAGTCCGTGCGCGCTACTGCGTCTATCATTTCTGAAGACGACATTGAGCGTATCGCGTTCGTTTTGGATTCCGAGCCTCCTCACCAGAATCTCTACCTCTACCATGGCGTTCTTCGGTACAAAGACCCTAACACCGGCGAACAGAAACAAGAGTCCGTAACAATCAACGAGCTCCTCTTGCGTGGATGTACAGTACGAAATACATCCTGGATCATTGGACTGGTCGTCTTCACAGGAGCAGACTCCAAGATCATGCTGAATGGTGGAGATACGCCGTCAAAGAGGTCCAAGATCGAGAAGGAGACGAACTTTAATGTGATTGTGAATTTCGTGGTGTTGATTGGGATGTGCTTGACTTCGGCGATTGCGAATGGGATTTGGGATGGGAAAGGTGGGACGAGCGCGACGTTCTTTGAGGCTGGTGCGGATCCGACGGATTCGTCTGTCGTCAATGCTATCGTCACATTCACGTAGGTGTTCTTCCACTTTATGGCTCACGAAACGAGAATTGACTTGAATACCTTGAATAGTTCCTGCCTTATCGCATTCCAGAACATCGTCCCCATCTCTCTCTACATCTCCATCGAAATCGTCAAAACGATTCAAGCCTTCTTCATCTCCCAAGACGTCGACATGTACTACAAACCGTTCGACGCAGCATGCACGCCTAAGACCTGGAACATCTCCGACGACCTGGGTCAGATCGAATACATCTTCTCGGACAAAACAGGTACACTCACCCAGAACGTCATGGAGTTCCAAAAATGTTCCGTCAATGGCGTACCGTACGGTGAAGGCGTTACAGAGGCTCAAAGGGGCGCGGCGAAACGGGAAGGCAAACCGGACGCTTTGGACCCTGAAGAACAGACGAAACAGTTGGCTCATCTCAAACAGGATATGATGAATAAGATGAACCGGGCGTTCAAGAATAGGTATTGTCAACCGGAGAAGTTAACGTTGATATCGCCTAAACTGGCTGAAGACCTCTCGGATCGAACTTCTGAACAACGGAATCACCTCATTAATTTCTTCCGGGCACTCGCTATATGTCATAGTGTCCTCGCCGATAGGTCAGATACGAAACGACCTTTCCACCTCGAGTATAAAGCCGAATCTCCGGACGAAGCAGCGTTGGTCGCAGCCGCACGAGACGTTGGGTTCCCCTTTGTCCAAAAGACGAAAGACTCGATCGATATTGAGGTAATGGGTCAAGCCGAACGGTATATCCCACTCGAGATGATCGAGTTCAATAGTACGCGAAAGCGGATGAGCGTGATCGTTCGGAACCCTCAAGGCCAGATCGTACTCTACTGTAAAGGAGCCGATAGCGTGATCTACCAACGACTTCGTCCCGATCACGATCCGATACTCAAGGAGAAGACGGCGAAGGATATGGAGTCGTTTGCGAATAGTGGGTTGAGGACGCTTTGTATTGCTTATAGGTATTTGACGGAACAGGAGTATATGGAGTGGCAGAGGGTTTATGACGCTGCGAATAATGCGATTGAGGATAGGGACGAGGAGATTGATAAGGCGAATGAGAGGATCGAACATTCGTTGACGATTCTGGGGGCGACGGCCTTGGAGGATAAGTTGCAGGAGGGTGTGCCCGAGGCTATTGAGACGCTGCATAATGCAGGTATCAAACTTTGGATTCTCACTGGTGCGTTTTTCGTTTGCGTTTCTTTTTCTGTGTTTTGGTACTCAACTTGGTTCCACTCGTGCAGGCGACAAAGTCCAAACGGCCATCGAGATCGGATTCAGCTGTAATCTCCTCAAGCAGGATATGGAAATCATGATCCTCTCCGCAGACACTCTCCACGAAGCTCAACTCCAAATCGAAGGAGGGGTGAACAAGATCGCCTCTGTCCTCGGACCACCTTCTTGGGACCCAAAGACTCGCGGGTTCGTCCCCGGGCAGAAAGCTGCGTTCGCGGTGGTGATTGATGGAGATACGTTGAGACATGCTCTGTCCCCTCAGTTGAAACCACTCTTTCTGAATTTGGCGACGCAGTGTGAGACGGTGGTGTGTTGCCGTGTGTCCCCCGCTCAGAAGGCTTTGGTTGTCAAACTAGTACGTATCGCTTCCCTCCCTTAATTTCTCCAGTATCAGTGTGTTCATGATGCCATGTAGGTCAAGGAAGGTCGAAACGCCATGACGCTCTCGATCGGCGATGGCGCGAACGACGTTGCCATGATCCAAGAAGCCAATATCGGTTGTGGTCTGCTTGGGTACGAAGGTTCTCAAGCGGCCATGTCTGCGGATTATGCGTTTGGTCAGTTCCGTTTCTTGACCAAGTTGCTGATCGTACATGGACGATGGTCATACCAACGTATCGCCGATATGCACAGTAACTTCTTCTACAAGGTATGTGTTTCGTCTTGTCCTTGATATTATATTGTGAGAGGTTGATTCAACTTTGTGTAGAACGTCATTTGGACTTTTGCCATGTTCTGGTTCCTCATTTTCAATAGGTGCGTTATTTGTTTTGTCATGACCTTGCAGACGCTGAATATTTGCGTTTAGTTTCGACGCAACCTACTTGTATCAGTATACATTCGTTCTGTTGTACAATCTGGTGTTTACTTCTCTTCCCGTTATCGTCCTTGGGGGTAAGAGTCTTCTCCAATCCCCCTCCACAACATCGTAGCTAACCATTATCAAACTTCACTCAGCTTTCGACCAAGATATCAACGCCAAGGCCGCCCTCGCTTTCCCCCAGCTCTACATTAGAGGTATCCGAGGCCTGGAATACACTCGTCTCAAATTCTGGGCGTACATGATCGACGGGTTGTATCAATCTGCCGTCGTGTTCTTCTTCCCTTTCCTTGTTTGGACCGTTGGGCTGCCTGCTTCGTGGAACGGCAAGACTATTGACTCTTTGGCCGATCTGGGAACTACCGTTGCTGTCTCTGCTATCTTCGCTGCCAATACCTACGTTGGTATGAACACTCGCTAGTGAGTATCATTCACTCTTCGAAGCTTGGTTTTCATGGAACTGACGATGATGGCTAGTTGGACTGTCGTCACATGGATCGTTGTTATCGGATCGTCCCTCGTTATGCTATTGTGGATCGTGATTTATTCCTTCTTTATGAGCAGCGACTTTGTCGATGAAGTCGTCGTTCTTTGTGGTAATGGTACATTCTGGTTTACAGTTCTCATCTCGGTCATTGTCGCGCTCGGTGAGTTAACACACTTTCGTCTTGTCTGTCTCCATGTCTGACTTCGACGGTTTAGCACCACGGTTTATCGCCAAGTACATCCGGTCGGCGTACTTCCCCTTGGACAAGGACATCATTCGGGAAGCTTGGGTCAAAGGTGACCTCAAGGACCGCCTGGGTATCGGCCACCGACGGGATAGGAAGAACGGCTCAGGGAAACTGGAGCAGGCACCCATGTTCCATCATCCACACGCCCGTTCAGAGTCCGAGATCTCCACGTACCAACAAGACATCGAGCTCGGCGGTCTCACAGCGGGAGGCAGTAACCCAAGTTCAGCAAACGCCTCCCCGCGCACCCCGCTATCTCCTATCCGCGAAGCACAGTCACCGCCACATTCTCCTTTGGCCAATGACGACTTCCTCTCTCCACAACGAAGAGAGCTACATGCGGCATCACCCTATTCGTTCCGTGGCTCGTATTATTCCGCTTCTCAGATCCCCGCCCCTTCACCAGACCCAACACCGCATACAAACTATACACCCAACCCTCTGATGTCTGCTGTATCACAAGAACCTGTCGCGGCGTTCCGCGCTCAGTCGACGTCGCCGCATCCACCGCCGTCAACTTCGCCAAGGCGAGATGTGTTCGAGATGCATGTTCGACAGCCATCTCAAGATGTACCGAGTACATCGCATCTGGCAGCACATACACAAGTGCCTACAGATAGCACGTACGAGACTGCGTATACGGGTTATCTGGAGGGTGATGATGAGCATCATAATGACCATGACCCACAATCTTGGAGGGGGAGCACTTATTCGAGTTACGACGGTCCTCATGCCATATAAGAGCCCGCATCGGTGTTTTCTTTACTTTCTTCTTTCGTATGTTTTCGCATCTTTTAAGTCTGCATCCTTCCGCAGCGCTTGTGGGTATTCTTGGACGTCTTCTTTATTTCTGTCTTTTACCTTTACTTCGTTTCTTCGCTTTTATTTATTTTAACATTTGTATGCAGTGGAGGTGCTATTCCCCGGTTTTACTCTCTACCTTAGTGTGCCCATTCCTTTCGCCAGTGCGCTCGTTGCTATCCACATCTCAGGTTCAAGGTAGAATTAGTACATGACTTTCATTCATTAGTGTAGTATACCCTACTCTCAATCACATCTGCTCCCCTGGACATCCAACCTTCAGTAGCCATGCCCCGTAATGGCAGTAATTGCTACGTCCTCGAGAAGTGAAACTTGCTTGGAACGCGGCTGAGGTCATGGCGAGAATTTCACTGGCATTGAGACCGAAAAGCGTGCACTGGATCACTCAGCTTCGATAATATCGTTGAGTGTAGACATGTTTCACATGTCCAAGCCCGTTTAGCTCAGTGGTAGAGCGCGCCACTCGTATTGCGATGGTGAGGTCGGTTGTTCAATCCAGCCAATGGGCATAGCCCTTGAATGTAAGCTTATTTTATTTTGTAAATTGACTAGGGCATGGGTTTCAAATTTTATACGCTTTACAAGCTGTTTGGATCGATCTGCGAAGGAGATTACAGTAAAACACTACTCTTTCCCAAACCTTTCGATAAGTATTTAATTTCAACTTGCGATCTCCTAGTAATGCCAACAACTTGAATTTCACTATCGATGAGCCTGAGTCTCCGAGACTAGAACAACGATGTTAGACAGCGGCACAGCACTAATCAGTTTCGAACCTCCAACATACAAACCGCTAGTTAGGAGGGGAATACTTGTACGCCATAACCCTCTGAACTCCACCACAGAACTCCTGTCCCTCGCCTGGCGGTAGCGGACAGAGCGAATTACACTCCTCCTCGGACACAGCTTGAACTCCCGCGGCAAATCCGAAGCTACACTGGCAATCACTACCAGCTTCTACACCAGCCCACGGGTATCCGATGCTGGAGCAATAAGTGATACATTGATTGACGAGTTCGAGGTTGGTCGCGAAAGTGTGATGTATCACTGGGCTTCCGAATGTAGGAGACTCCGGAGTGTCGACGAAGCATCCCTGCAATGTCCATGAGCCAGGAATGAGGGCGGGAGACTTGTATATCTACAAGGGATGGCAAGATCAGACTTCCGTCATTAGCAGGCGACATTCCCAAACGCACCTGGATGCGGAAGGATCCTCCGCATGACAGATCTGGATCACCCGTACATGGCATGTTGCACTGCGAAAGAGGAGCAGCGGCAGTCATCGCCCCCACGCCCATTCCACAATGACATTCGTTACTGAATTCGACTCCGGCGAATGCGAAGCCAGCATCATTGCAGCGTACGATGCAGGATTCAGGTGTATTATCGATGTACTGCGTCGTTACGTCCTTGGTGATGACGCGGGAAGGAATATCGACGGCGCATGGCATCATCGTGCTCCAGTTGAGAGGGAGCGAGGGAGTGTCGAAAGCGAAAGTAGCCTGAAAGAGGGCGCCCGGGGCGACGAAAAGGAGACAAAGCCGTTGATTCATCGCAAGTAAAAGTCGATTGACCTGAGAGACTTTGCACCGAGAGCAGTCACATTATATAGAAAGCATGAAGAAGCAGAGAACCAAGAACGTCAAGCAAAGAGGCCATCAGTGAGAGGTGCAACTCGCATATAGGATCTACGGCCAGTCTACCCGGGGATTACACACACCATGCCTAAAGTGACCCCTGATGTCGACAGGTTATTGACACTGACAACGACAGTTCCGGAATCGGAGACTCAACCTGGGCCATTGCACATTCATTAATAGGGCATGCAAAGATGTTTCTTGCCTCCTTTGGACACACCAAGTGACGAAGTGGCCGAATCCAGGCACGACATCGGCCAAAGAGCGAGGAACAGATTCGAAGGAGACAGACAGGCTACCGACGGCATCGCAACGGGTCCCTGTAACACATTCAGCAGGCTCTAAACATGACGAGGCGAAAACGTGAATGAGTGCCCGTGACTCCAGGCTTGAAAAGCAACAGTCTCGTGTCGCTTCTCCCTGTAGAACTTGGCGTGCCATTGAATGAAGGTGGAGTGAACTCAGCATCCCTGTCAATAGCTTTGACCACACAATGGACAACCCAGAGACGTCCATTCTGAGGCACAATGGGTTGTCTTCGAGAATTATCGCTGTCGGACGTTTGAATATGATCCAAGTAAAAGTAAAAGCAAACGTCTCTTCGATATCTAGGTTGCAATCACAATCCTCGCATACCACTTACTCTGAATGTGTCGTTTTCGGCGTTGACTGGCATTAGCCAGGACCTATTTGGCACCGCAGCTTTGAGATAACCTACATGAATAGGCGGTATATAGAAGATCGAGAAATACAAACGTTACCGTCATTATACTCTCAGTACAGTACTTGCACCTTTCGTACGGGGCTGAATGATTTGAGTTCGGGATCTGGCCGATCACAAGTTGCCAACGCTATCCAGGATTGCTGATGTCCGCAGGTCAGAGCAGTCCTATCTGGAGTCCTATAGTCATTGGTTCGAGTCGAGAATACGTAGTAGAGGTTGGTGGACTCCTTGCGTAAAGGTCGCGCACGGCGCACGCGGGAAAATTTAATGTTTTAAGTTTCCTGGGACACGGTCACGTGACAGCAAGTTCGTACCCAAGCCCACCGTCACGGTCGTCAGCCGCCAACTCGTCAGGCTGAAACACAGTTGCAATGAACAAAGGTTGTCATAGGAGTAACGTATATAGTTCTACATAGTCGTAAATCCAGAAAATCAGCCTATACTCACAAATACGCGCGTTAGTAGTACGAACCAGCATCTTCCACGTCCACTGGCAAGGTATCATGATCACAACTACCTCAGTAGTACAATATGTTACAACCCAAGTATCTCATAGGCACAACGCAGTCTCACATTTCTAAAGACGCATCAACCCATATATTTTCCATAGTCCAACGTCTACTCTTGTCCGAGTCGACTGCGCTTCAGCTTGCGGAGAGTGGTACCGTCTTCCCCGTCACCAGGCACGTCCGAAGAATATTCATGGTCGATCTCCAAATCTGTGTCGTCTTCAGAGGCAGATTTGTGCATGTCGTCCTCCTTCCTCTTCATGTTCATACCGCATCGACTAGACGAATTTATGGCCTTCCGCGGGTTATCAAGTCGAGGATTTGAGAATGAAACCATATTCTCCAACTGCAATAGTCGTTCACGCTTGAGTTTAGCCTGGGCCACTTGATCAACTTCGGTTCGATCAACATATGCAGGCCATCCTCGACGTCCGAGGCAATCTTTGATGACTTGAATGATTTCTTTGTGGTCCAGAAATGGAGATCGTGGTCGGCTTTTAATGGTAGTGGTTTTACGCCTTCGGGTTGGTTCTTCAATTTGGGGTTCCCTTTTACACGACCAAACCTCTGTGATCGGGCGGCGAGGATACTTCTTCAGTTCCCTCCTCGGAGCATACTGGTCCATGGCACCCGCGTCGAGACTTTTCCAGTGCTGTTGACACAGTTTCATCAACTTGTCAATGACGACCGCCAGGTTGGTTGGTTCCTCGGTGTCCGGATCTGAATCCAACTCGAATCCAGGATCACCCTTTTTGACATCCCCCACCTTTTTCGGGCAACCTGTGAATGCCTTGATCTGAGGGTCATATTGACATGACTCGTATCGTTCACGATCGTGAGCCAGAAATTCAACAGGGGCCAGGTTATGCCAGTGGAAACGGAGCGCAAAGCAGTTGATCAAGTGAACAAACGATTCTAGATCATCAACGAGTTCCCAGGGCTTGCCTGGGTATGCGAGGCGTGGAGCCGATAGATATGTCCAAGTTCCCTAAACATATGGTCTATGTTAGCTCGTGCACGACGGAAATTGAGGATACTCACAGAGCGATTCCCGTTGCTAGCCTCGCCCAATTGGTTGCGAAACTTTGCGGAATCCCAATCAAGTAGCGAGGCCTTTGCAGTCATTCCACCTTCCTCATTCTTCTCCAGAGACACGATCATGTTGTGTTCGTTGATGTCGTGGTGTAACACATGGGCATCTTCCCAAGCTCGTTGATGAGCTGTTGTCAAGGTATCGATACCTAGGTCAATACAAGTATTCAATTCAAAGTAAGGTATGATTAACGCACCGATCAAAGCGTCACGAATAATGAAACATAACTGTTTGGAATTCTGATAGCCTGTTAGAGGCAAGCCAAATTCGTTCAGCACGATCCGGTGTTGGAACATTGGCCGAAAAGCTAGATGGTTTTGGAGGTATACTGGAATATCGCACATGTTAAGGGAGTTGAATGTGCAATCAGAGCCGAGCTCGAGCCTCAAGTTTCCTGGACCACGGTCACGTGAAGTCGCAACAAAGTCGAAGAAGACCGCGACGAGCTCGCTCATGGCGGTCGTTGGTCGAGATCACCGCAGAACATACTTTTCCATGAGATGACATAGATATAGCTCTACATATTCGTACAATAGCCAGAGTCATATACTAGTACTTACCTAGTACGCGCCGATTTGAACATCCTCCACGTCCGAGTCGCACGTACGGTATCACCGCAAACAAAATCAAAAAGACTGAACCTACTTAGCTCGGCATGCCAAAACCCCACACCCCTCTCCAAATCCCTTCGATAACCACTATCATCCTCCTCCTAGTTCAAAATTTGCTGCTGTCGGAGGCGCTTCGGATTGCGGCGGGGAGCGGACTCTCCTTCGTCATCGCCATCTACGGCAACCCTCGAGCGTGGCAAGAAATCCGGATCAGAGTCATGGTCGCTCTCCGAGTCAACGTCGTCTTCAGACACCGTCTTCAGACGCAGACTTGTACATATCTGCGGCCTTCAAGTTCCTCTTGCTACCACGCCTCGTGGATGACTCTGCGGGAATCCTTTTGTCGCCGCGCCCATCAGATGAGTATGCAGTCTCCGGCAGACTATCAATTCGATGTGCTGAGCTCGCGCCAATGTTGTTCGGCGCAAGCGTTGGGGTATGGCCGGTGAATTGAATTGGGCGTAAATCTCCATAAACACGTTTAGCCTGAACCACTTGGTCATCTTTGGTTCGATCAACATATGTAGGCCAACCTCGCTTTCCGAGGCAATCTTTCAGGACTTTGATGATCTCCTTATGGTCCAAAAAGGGGGATTGTGGTTGGGCCTCAGCGGTAGGGGTATCATGCTCCGGGTCTTGAAATGGCTCCTCTTCGAACAACACATCATTGGGCATAATTGAGGGGCAAAGTAGCGCCGTGTCCTCAGGCTGTTCATTACTCGACGCATATTTGGCCATAGCAACAACGTCAAGACTTTGCCAGTGTTTCTGACACAGTTTCATCAAGCTGTCGATGACGATGGCAAGGTTCGTTCGTTCGTTCGTGTTCGGATCTCGATCCAATTGAAAGACAGGAGTACCCATCATGACGTCAAACACATTTTGTGAGCACCCCGTGAATGCCTTGATCTGGTGGTCGTAATGGCATGACTCGT